GCGTTATATAGGCGTCAGTGGATAATGACTGTGCAGCAGACGAGGCAAGTCACTGTAGGGGCGTATTCCCCTCAGTGGAAGTAGGTTCTCTTCCCAAAGAGATTGGTTTAGTTGCATCAGGCCGTGAAGAAGGTCTTGTAGAGTCCTCTGAACCAAGATTCCATAGATGTTGCAGTGTCTGACAAGTTGTGGCAAGAAAGGACTAAAAGTGACCGACAATATGAAATTAGACACATGTCACCATCTGATATCTTTATTGTAGTGAGACCGTTTCGCCATCCATGCTCTTATCAAATGACAGATTCTAGGACATAATAGGAAGACAGTAGACACAAAAAAAAAACTTAAAACTACATACAAACGATGAAGGTTAATCATTCCTCGGGCCTTGGAGTTAGTGTTCACAGCTTAATGGTGTAGGAAGAATCTGGAGCACAGACAAGAAGACTGGCGTTTTTATATAGGCGTCAGTGGATAGGGACGGGCAGCAGACGAGTGCAAAGTCACTGTGTAGGCGGTTCCCCCGAGTGTAAGTAGGTCCTTCCCAAAGAGATTGGGTTAGTTGCAGCAGCCGTGAAGAAGTCTTGTAGATGTCCTCTGAACCAAGATTCCATTATGTTTTGCAGAGTCAGACAAGTTTGTGGCAAGAAAGTATAAAATACCGACAATATGAAAGTTAAGACACATGTGCAACATCTTGATATCTTATTGTAGACGTTTCGCCCATCCAGTGCTTATCATAACAGATTCGTAGGACATAATTAGAAGACAGAGAACTATAATCTGAATTGAAAAACCACTGGATGGCGAAAACTCTACAATAAAGATATCCAGATGTTTCAACATGTGTCCTTAACTTTCAATTGTCGGTATTTCAGTACCATTCTTGCACACATGACAATTGTATTCCTAACTCTGGTCTTAGTCAGATGATGACCCGCCGTGGACTATTTGGTCATCTGATCAAAAGTTCCAACAATGTACAATGTATACAGGCGTAGCTGACATCAATGACATACTACTATATAGAAAGCCCCATGTTATGCAGAAGTTTCGGACAAATTAGGTTAATTTTGTCCAAGGGATGCAACCTACTCCAGTCATCTAATACCCAGGTACCTACTTAACTGATAGGTGAACATGGACAGCAAGTGTCTTATCCAACCACGGACCTCAGTGTGATCCGAGTGCGCTAACAATCGAGTTACGTGTGTGTGTGTGTGTGTGTGTGTGTGTGTGTGGTGTGTACTCACCTATTTGTGGTTGCAGGGGTCGATTCATAGCTCCTGGCCCCGCCTTTTCACTGATTGCTACTAGGTCCTCTCTCTGAAGATTTAATTTCCTCGTGTTTACCATATCTGAGTAATTGAAATTTCTCATTGTTGAACTTCATATTGTTTTCTGCAGCCCACTGAAAGATTTGGTTGATGTCCGCCAGGAGCCTTGACAGTTTCCTGCAGTGGAAGACACTGTCATGCAGATTCGGGGTGTCATACTGCAAAGGAAAGACACGGTGGCTGTGTCTGACATCCTTGTCCTATGTCTATATGAGGATGAAACAAGATGGAGCGCGTACTGTGCCTTGTGGAACAGAGCTTATTCCACCATAGCTTGCCTCGGACTATACCTCTTTGACGACGACTACTCTGTGTTCTGGGTTAGTGAGGAAATTATAGATCCATCGAAAACGCTCTGTTCCTGTAAATTCCTTTAGCACCGCGTATTTTGTTGGCGCTATAAGCAGCCATGGTCACACTTTCGAAGCTTTTGCATAAGTCTGATAATAACATCAGCATTCTTTTTGTCTCTAGTGTCATCTAGAGGACCTTGTCGTAGTGATCCAGTAGTTAAGACAGACAGGAGCGACCAGTTCTAAACCCATGTTGCCCTTAGGACCCTTTCAAAGATTTTTATGATATGGAATGTTAGTGCTATCGGTCTGTAGTTCTTTGCTGTTGCTTTACTGCCCCTTAGTGGGAGTGGGCTATGTCTGTTGTTTTTAGTAACTGTGGGACGACCCCCGTATCCATGCTCCCTCTCCATAGGATGGAAAAGGCTCGTGATAGGGGCTTCTTGCAGTTCTTGATAAACACGGAGTTCCATGAGTCTGGCCCTGGGGCAGAGGTGCATGGCATGACATTTATCGCCTGTTTCGAAGTCATTTGGTGTCAGGATAACGTGCGCCTCAGGAGATGTGCCCGGTGTTATACTCACTCCCAGATCTTTTTCCTTGAGTGAGGTTTGCAGTCTTTGGCCACCCAGACTATACTGTTTGCGGTCTTTTTTGACCTTCCCCAGTCTTCATGACTTTGCATTTGGCAGGGTTAAACTCAAGAATCCAGTTGCTGGACCAGGCTTGTAGCCTGTCCAGGTCTCTTTGTAGTCCTGCCTGATCCTCACCCGATTTGATTCTTCTCATTAATTTCACATCATCTGCAAACAACGACACTTCTGAGGCTATCCCTTCCGTTATGTCGTTCACATATACCAAAAACAGCAC